ATATGTTTCATTCATGAGGGAATATATTAGTTTAGGCCATATGTCACAAGTACATACATACAATACTCCACACTACATATTGCCGCATCATGGAGTATTTCGCGCACATAGTACTACAACAAAACTACGAGTTGTATTTGACGCGAGCGCGACGACCACCTCAGGTAAATCGCTTAATGACTTACAACTCGTAGGTGCTGCTATACAGGGTGACTTAATTGCCATTTTATTACGTTTTAGGCAACATCGGTGGGTAGCGTGTGCCGATATCGAAAAGATGTATCGGCAGGTATTAGTGAATCATAATCAACGCGACTTACAATTAATATTATGGCGCGAAAACCCCACAGATGAGTTAGGTATATATCAACTCAACACAGTGACATACGGTACAGCATCGGCACCTTTCCTCACCCCTATAAAACCTACCAGTATCCCGCGGTTGGAGCTGTGTGGTGCTCTGTTAGGTGCTAGACTTTTCGAAAAAATACAACAATCACTACGGTGTCAATTTAGTAAGGTAGTTTTTTGGACCGACTCGACTATTGTTCTCGCTTGGTTACGAATGAACCCTAATTTGCTGAAACCTTTTGTTCAAAATAGGACCGCTGAAATACAAGAATTGACAAGTGACCATACATGGCGCCACGTATCAGGCAACCAAAATCCAGCAGACATAGTGTCCCGTGGATCCTATTTAGATACATTACATAGCTGTAAATTATGGTGGGAGGGCCTCCTCTTTTTATTCGACATTACTTATGACGCATCAAAGGACAACTGTACTGAATCTAAGACTAACACGGACTGGTCAGTGTTAGACTTGCCTGAAATCAAGTCAAAATCAGTACATTGCAATCACATTACACATCAAAACAATTGGTTTCCATTCCATAGATTCTCTCAACTCAATCGCATGACACGAGCCTGCGCCTACATGTTACGCTTCATACATAACACAAAAAATAAAATTAATAAACGGACAGGTGTGTTGAGTGTTAATGAGTTGAACGAATCACAACAGAAATTAGTATATTTTACGCAACTAGAGTCCTATTCCGACACCTACGATATATTAAATAAACACGGTCAATTAAATAATTCGCACAATTTATCAAATTTAAATCCTTTTATCGATAAAAACAATTTAATTAGAGTAGGCGGTCGACTTAATAATTCTACTTCATTTTCTTACAATAAAAAACATCCCATATTGATACCAGCTAAACATCACTTCACAGTACTACTGTTTCGTGCAGAACACAAGCGGCTACTACATGCAGCGCCACAGGCTCTCTTGTATGCGATAAGGGAAACGTGGTGGCCTGTTAGTGGACGGAATGTTGCTAAACAAACTGTTTATAATTGTGCCAAATGCGCCCGATTTCGAGCCAAACCCCTCACACCGCTCATGGGTAATCTACCCATACAACGCGTAAGCCCAGGATTTGCCTTCATGTATACAGGGGTTGATTATATGGGTCCAGTTTATATTTTAAACCGCAAAGGTCGAGGTGCACGTATTGTAAAGGCATATGTTGCAATTTTTATTTGTTTCACTACTCGTGCAGTTACTTTAGAGTTGGTAGGCGATTTGTCAACAGATGCGTACTTGTTGGCTATCAATCGGTTTATTTCTCGTCGTGGTAAACCGTCTGATATATTTTCTGATAACGGCAGAAACTTTGTCGGCCTTATGAACGAATTTCATAAGTTCCTCTCTAATTGTTCACAAGATATTTTAAATTACGCTACTAGTCACAGCATAAATTTTCATTTTATACCTCCTTATTCTCCTCATTTCGGTGGTTTGTGGGAAGCAGGGGTTCGGTTATGTAAGCATTCTTTGCGAAGGGTAGTCGGGAATTTACATTTAACGTACGAAGAGTTCAACACGGTATTAACTCAAGTAGAAGCTGTCATGAACTCTCGTCCCCTTAGTCCTATGTCCACGGATCCTCATGATTATCTTCCATTAAGCCCTGCTCATTTCTTGGTTGGTCGTCCGCTGACCGCACCTCCGTGCAACGATCTTCAAGACGCCGCGCCAACGAGTTTGACACGATATCAGCGCGTGGAACAAATTCGCCAACATTTTTGGACAAGATGATCCAAAGAATATATATCCGAGATGCAGACAAGGAATAAATGGAAAACACGTCAAGCAGACTTAAAACCAAATACATTAGTACTCATCAAAGATGACCACTTACCTCCATTAAAGTGGCATTTGGGTCGTATCGTGTCCACTGTTCCAGGCAGCGACGACGTATCAAGAGTTGCTGATATAAGGACCGAGTCAGGCATCATTAGGCGGGCATTCTCAAAAATATGTCCTCTCTGGGAGGAAGACTTGAAAGTAGAATCTTTCAAGGCCGGGGGCATGTTAAAGCATTAACAATATGCAAATAATATTATTCACTCCTGCGTATAATGAAGCGGTTTCAGCGGTAAAACCAATGGACGACTGCTAAGTTAAAAATAGATAATCACACACAACATCAACCAGTAACAAGAGCCGCTCATCACGGCATCGCGAGAACGCCAATCATAGCGCAGGAGAAATTTACATGACCTTTCAGGTTTTCAAAATTGTAACGGACTCGCAAAACAAAACTTCAACGTATAACATCAAATTTATATTACATCAACGCTTCAAATTATTATCTATTTTATTTACCCTAGTTAAATCGCTGCAAATACTAGGTGTATTTATTCATCATCATCATCATCATCTGTTCATCATCAAACGCAAGCGCACATCATTAACACCTGTAACTCTACGACCTTTCCACGATCTTTTGTGCTCGCACTTTTCTAAGTTCGCTGCTAATTCCTATCAATGATAGGAATTTTAAGACGTTTTCCAAAGGTATCTCCTTTGGAAAACGTCTATCGTGTATGTACGAGAGGGCTACAGCGACACAATCAGCGCTGCGGCGTTTCTTCCTCACTGTGACAAAATCTGCAACCACTTTTTGGGCATAAGCCCAGTTGGGCCATATGCTTGTTTAGTTCGCAGTGTCCAGCGAGAGCCCTTGTTCGTACACACAAATTGTTTTTACTCAAAAGAATTCATTTCTAACAGTAATTTTTTGAAAACCTCTTAATCAGAGCTTTTGAGTGATTTAATTCTAGCAATAAGAGCCAGATATTATTAATTTTTTTATACAACTCAGAATGACAAACAAGCTGACGGCTCACCTGATGGAAAGTGGTAACCGTCGCCTATAGACATGAGCAGTACCGTGGACATAACAGAGTATACTGTTTCGTCCATGATACCCCCCATGCGTTGCCATTCCTGAGGACTCAGGTGTTATTCCTCTGTACCCTGTAAATTCACGCCATATCCCACCCTTCAAACCGAAACACAGCCATGCAAACACAACTGCTTCACGGTTGAAACACGAATGGGACAGAGGTGGACAAGCAAACGACTTTTGTACAAAGTCAAAAAGAAACACCAACAAATGCATTCCCAAAGAGGATTGACGTCAGACAGGGGCCGGTCGTAAGACTAGAAGCCAAATCTTTTTTGTAATATGGGGATAAAAAACAATACGCTGATTACAAATAATAATTGGGATAAGGATGGGATGATAATGTTTTAGACTAGCTTAGACTAGTTCACCTTGACCTGACCTTTTGTTCGCGACATTATAATTTAGTTCTGTAATTATAGCAATATTTCATAGTTATCTTTAAGTTACCAGACGGAGACTTTGTACAAAAGTCGATTGCTTGGGTACCTCTGTCCCATTCGTGTTTCAACCGTGAAGCAGTTGTGTTTGCATGGCTGTGTTTCGGTTTGAAGGGTGGGATATGGCAGTGAATTTACTGGGTACAGAGGAATAACACCTAAGTCCTCAGGAATGGCAACGCATGGGGGGTATCATGGGCGAAACAGTATACTCTGTTACATCCATGGTACTGCTCATGTGTATAGGCGACGGTTACCACTTTCCATCAGGTGGGCCGTCAGCTTGTTTGCTATTCTAAGTTGTATAAAAAAAAAAATTGATTGTTAGCATAAGTTGTTAGTTTTTAATAGAATAGAATAGAATAGAAATCATTTATTCAAATAAACTTACATTGAAGCACTTTTGAAAAGTCATTACATTTTTTTTTAATCTACCGCTCGTTCGGAAAGCTGTCTCATCACAAGAAGAACGAGCAAGAAACTTGCGTGTTGCTCTTTTAAATAATTTTATTATTACTTTACATTTTCAAGTTTAATTGTGTGAATACAAACCACCAATTAGCACTAATTCAATTAAATACTCAAAAAGAAAAAAAAATATTGAATACATAACCAACTGGTTAAACAATTAATAAGAGGAAATCAGTCATAGTGATTAGAGCAGACCAGTCCCTACAAGCAGCACCCGTTCACGAGTATGACGGATGAGCCAGCCATCACTGCGCTCGACCATATTTTAGGGAGCCCAATGACCCGGCCCACCACGCCGCCACAAGTCTGGACATTTTAGTGAGCATGACTACTCAAAACACTAGACCACGTCAAAGCTACTCACAATTGCCATCTGATAGTTATAGTATTCACATTTTACATAAGAATGCATGCGGCAATTAATACAAAAAAACCGCTACGCTTTCATATTTCTAAAATTAATCAATTAAATCAAGAAAGCAATGAGAAAATAAAATTATAACGTTGTATGCTAATAAACTAATTATTTACTTGATATGTTGTCATCTATGAATTCGTCTATCCTGTAATAGGCTTTCTTACATAAAAATTGTTTAATATAAGATTTGAATTGCCTCTCTGTCAGATTTAATGCAGATTCCGGCAGTTTATTATAAAATCTTATTATATAATCATTCAAATTGTAACCTTTATAGTTGTTTATAGAATGTATGTTTTAGTTTGTAAGGGAAATAAAGCATTTATTATGTTGAGTCCTTTATTACCGAGATTAGAAAATAAGGAAAAATTGTAAAACATTAGTAATAAGGATATTTGAATTGTAAACCTTTTCCTTGAGGTCCTTAAGTGCAGTATTCCTAACGATGTCCCAGGTCTTGCCGGAGTCTGTGTCCTGGACGGTCCGCAACCTCTTGTACTCGCCGTTCACCGACGAGTACGCCGCTATGAACGATCTCTGCAACCAATGATACAGTAAAAATGTTTAGTGCCTCGTGATTAGAGAACACAAATCCCGGGGTGCCGGATGACAAAGTCAACAGGGCTTTACATATGCAGTTACAATAATTATATATATATATATATATATCTTATATATAAAATTCTCGTGTCACGGTGTTTGTTACCAAACTCCTCCGAAACGGTGACCCTCCCCAAAAAATTACTTTTATTTTTTTGACAAATTTTTCCATTTTTATTTTATTATAATTTAGCATTGAAATATACATACAACTTCAAATTTTCACCGTTTTACGATCAACCCCTGTATTTTAATCGCGATTTTTATATTTCGCAATAAGTGGTAAAACAACGTTTACGGGGTCAGCTAGTATATATATAAATTTATTGCATAAATTAAAACATATCAATAAAAATAATTCTTAAATAAAAAAAAAACTTTTTTGCGACCATAGACGCAAAAAATATTTTTTTTTCATCATTTTTATATGTTATTGTACTCATGCTTTCCTGGGTGAGCGTATTGGAAGACTGTAAGGCTCACCCAGTGGATGTAATAAATAAATAAATAAATTAACTCAAAAAAAATTAGGTGCATGCCTACTATCATCCATTAAAAGTGTCACAAAATGTACCTGCTGTTGAGTGACGCTGTCGCCGGCGGACTTGAGGGCCGTTCTCACGATGCCCAAGCTCAGGTACGGATTGTTCTGTTTGCTCAGGTGCAAAGTGTCGAAGTCGTCCAGGAACTTCTCGAATATTGTAATCGCTTCTTTTATATTGGACAACTTGGTCTCGTCACGAGTGCCTGGAACGGTGAAATGGATTTTAAGTGTAGGGACCAGAGTTGAAATTTAAATATTCTTACTAATGGGGATAAGTTGGGGGAAGGGATTGTTAGTAATGCGGACAACCAGTGCCATTGCTAGCAATATACGCTGTCAGGTCCACGGCTGCCACGTGACGTGGTCCTCCGATTCGTGTTTCTACCGTGAAGCAGTTGTGTTTGCATGGCTGTGTTTCGGTTTGAAGGGTGGGATATGGCAGTGAATTTACTGGATACAGAGCACATAGTATGGCAACGCATGGGGAGTATCATGGGCGAAACTGGGTACTGCTCACGTCTATAGGCGACGGTTACCACTTTCCATCGGGTGGGCCGTCAGCTTGTTTGCCATTCTAAGTTGTATAAAAAAAAAAAACTTACATGTGAGTACTCTCTTCGCCCTGCCAATCAACCCCTTGACGGCCAGCTTCTGGTAGTCGGGGTCGCGTCCCTCCAACTCTTTCAGGGTTCCATCTGCCGCCTCCTTGTCCTTGAAGCCTAGACCGGGCACCGTGTCGGCGGGCAGCTCCTTCTTCTCTTTCGGCTTCTCCTCCATTTCCTCATCTGAGTCTGAGTCCTGGTAAAAGGTAGGAATAGTTAGGATTTACTAGCTTTTACCCCGGGATATGATCACTGATCAGTAGCCTATAAAGGGAGGAAGAGATTGTTAGTAATACGGAATACCAGTCCCATTGCTAACAATAGGGGAAAGGGATTATTAGTATTGGAGACGTTACTCCCCATTGCTATCAATATACTCTATCAGGTCGACATCCACGCGGTTCCCCTTGGAAACCATCGTGACTAATTTATCTAGGCCGGCAGCACACCTGCAATGCCGCTGGTGTTGTGGGTGATCATGGGCGGCGGTAGTCACTTACCATCAGGTGAGCCGCATGCTCGTTTGCCCCCTATGTTGTAAAAAAAAAAATCGTTGAATTCATCACGGAGGGCTAACTGACCTGCCTTTTCATCCTCACCTGTCATCCCTCACTGGTGCCCCACCAACGTATACCGTTAGCGCGGGCGGGGTTACCATTCCGAACTGGAATTCAGAACTATGGATTCTGGAATCCATAGTTCTGAATTCCAGTTGTATTCATCTAGATGTGCTAACTGACCTGCCTTTTCATTCTCACCTATCATCCCTCACTGGTGCCCCGCCAGCGTATATGAAATTTTATCAAAATCTGCTTAGTAATTTTTAGACCAAGACTGTTCGATAGACAGGGAGTTCATCCTCATACCCTACAGCCTGAATGGTCGCGTACAGCGCGGTTTCAGAGATGTTTCTTCCCATGAACACTCAGGTTTTGAAATGAGCTTGCTGCTGAGGTTTTCCCAAGAGACTACAGCATGGAGTCTTCAAAAGGGGGGTAAAGAGGTTTCTTCAGGGTCGGAAACGCGCGCGTAATACTCCTGGTACAGCAGGCGTTCATAGTCTACGGTAACCGCTTACCATCAGGTGGGCCGTATGCTTGTTTGCCACCTCAATGGTATAAAAAAAAAGATAACAAGTTCTGTACTGTGGGACACAATCTTTAGTTATTGTTTTCACACTGGTTTCGAAAGCACAATTCACGGAACCCGCCGTCGTATCGCCAACACGTGACGCCGAGTCAGCGCAACGCGACGGCCGGAATGTTCGTGGAAACGGCCGTTGTCCGTGGGACTACGTTCCGTTCCCACGTTGGACATTCGACCCCTTTTAAGTTGTAATCCTAGTTTAATGAAATATAATATTGTTTAAAACTGTTTTCATTAATTTTCTATATTAAAATTACGCCATTACGTGCCCGTTGCTGAAGTTAATCTATTTACCCCTTTTTTTAAATAATTCCATGCTATAGTCTCTTGGAAAGACCTATGTTTTTTTCAATGGATGATAATGGAATGGTGACGCCACCCGCGCTATCGGTATACACTGGCGGGGCACCAGTGAGGGATGATAGGCGAAACTGAAGCAGGTTAGTCAGTCCATCGTGACGAATTCACTAATGAATCAATCACGACGGTCTCCAGGAGGAACCGCGAGGAGGTCGACCTGATAGAGTATTTTTATTAGTAATAGGGTTACCAATCCCAATTTCTAACAATCCCTTTCCCCCCAGACCTCGGTTTTGAACCAAGTACAGGTACTGCTGCCCATCCCTCGCTCTCTTTTACTCGCCTCTTACGACACCCACGGGAAAGAATGGAGTAGCTTATTTTATGCCGGGATTGCAAGGCCATAAGGCCATATTAGGTTATATAAGTTATTAATTATATAAAACATTAATTATAGATAATTATCTAATATATAAAATTCTCGTGTCACGGTGTTCGTTACCAAACTCCTCCGAAACGGCTTTACCGATTTTTATGAAATTTTGTGTGCATATTCGGTAGGTCTGAGAATCGGCCAACATCTATTTTTTTATACCCCTCAATGATAAGGATGACTCTCACAAAAAAAAAATTAATATTTCAATAAATTTTTCTATTTTTATTTTATTATGGATTTAGCATTGAAAAATACAAACAACCTCAAATTTTCACCGTTTTACGATCAACGCCTGTTTTTTAATCGCGATTTTTATATTCCGCAATAGGGTTTCAAGATGGCAATCGAATATAATTTTCATGTACAGTTTATAATTACAATTTGCTTTGATTATATATTTTTTCTTAATTTAAATTAATCATAAATCCTCACCGGTCGATAACTGATCAACTACCAATCGATCAGTTACATTACGGAGTAGGGATGAGGACGAAGCCGGCCTCCTTTCCTATTTTCTAGAAATAATGTATTTGGCAAAACAACGTTTGCGAGGTCAGCTAGTAACTTTATAAAATACAATTGTATCAAACAAAAACACATAACAATTATTCAGTTCTGTTAACTACATATACATATAACATCGACTAACTATGTCACCGAAGGGGGAAAGGGACCCCATTGCTATCAGGTCGACCCCCACGCGGTTCCCCCTGGAAACGGTCACGAATAATTCTAGTGGAATTCGTCACGGTGGGCTAACTGACCTGCCTTTTCATCTTCACCTGTCATCCGTCACCGGTGCCCCGCCGGTGTATACCGATAGCGCAGGCGGGGTTACCATTCCATTATCAACCATTGGAAAAAAAAGAAAAACCTTGTCATCGCCATTCTTCTCGTCCTTCCTCTCTTCTCTATTCGACTCAGTCTTCTCTTCCTTCTTATCAGTCTTCTTGTCCTTGTTCTTATCCAAGTCCGCGAGCCAGTTCTCGAACACCTCCATTGCTTCTTTTATATTCTTTATTTTGTCTTCTGCTTTGGTCACTGCAAATAAAAAATAAAACAAAAATTTTAAAAAAATGTCTCTCTCTCTCTTTCTAATTGGAAATATATGTTTTATATTTATATACAATAAATTATTTCAGTATGCTTTGTGGAAATTGTTATCTGTGACTTGAACGAAAAAAAAAATGTATATATATATTTTATGCAACTTTGAATGGCAAATAAGCTAACGGCTAACCTGATGGAAAGTGGTAACCGTCGCTTATAGACATGAGCAGTACCGTGGACATAACAGAGTATACTGTTTCGCCCATGATACCCCCCATGCGTTGCCATTACTGAGGACTCAGGTGTTATTCCTCTGTACCCTGTAAATTCACTACCATATAAATGCTCATGATTGTATTGTAAAATTGTAAAATCTTTATTATAAATAATTTACATTGGACACATTAAAAGATTTAATGTACAATGGCGGACTTATTCCATAGAGGGAGCTCTCACAGTCAACATTTGAAAAGCTGAAAGAAAACTATAGAATGTTCAAGGACAAAAACCGTACAGCTAAAGACAGAGTCAATGATATCGAGTTACATTTGAACATGTAATACAATAAAAAGTAATTGTACACACCTATATATGTAAAATAATAATAATACATAAATCTACACACATAAATATATATAAAAACACATATATTCACAATTGACTCAATTAAATAGGAGTTTCGGAATAAAATACCTGCTTTAAAGGATTTTAACGACTTCGCCATCTTGAAGTTACTAAGAAATGAAAACAAAAGACGTGCATGCAGCATGTAGGTACAGTGAATGACTTGACATAGTTTCGAGTAATAAAATTGAAATTTGTCGACTGTTACCATATTGGCAAATGTAATACGTAACATGTTCAAATTACGATGAATGAATGAGTATACTTTATTTGCATTATACAATATAGGGAATAGGGTTTTGGGGAGGGGGGAAGGGATTGTTAGTAATGGAGACTAAAAATCCCATTGCTAGCAATATACCGAACCAGGTCGACCTCCACGCGGTTCCCCCTGGAAACTATCATGGTTAATTCCTGATGAATTCATCATGATGTGCTAACTGGCCTGTTTTCATTCTCATCTATCACCCTTCAGTGGTGCTCCGTCAGCGTATACCGTTAGCGCAGGCGGGGTAACCATACCATCATCATCCATTATAAAAAAAAGATATATTTTTGTATAGTAGAAAGGTCTCCTTCCATTCTGGGGTGGATACCAGATAATTTTGGGCTGGGTACAGCCCACACGGTCTACGTAACTAAGCTGATGTTCCAATCTACTATCGCTGAGTCGAAAAACTCCATTACCAAAATAAAGGTTTCTTTTTTTAATAGATGATAATGGAATGGTAACCCCGCCTGCGCTATCGGTATACACCGGCGGGGCACCAGTGAGGGGTGATAGGTGAAGATGAAGTAGGTCAGTTAGCCCATCGTGACGAATTCAACAAGAATTGTTCACGATGGTTTCCAGGGCGAACCACGTGGAGGTCGACCTAATATATATTGCTAGCAATATATTGCTAGCAATGGGGCTGTCAAACTCCATTGCTAACAATCATTTTCCCCCCACCAAAATAAAGGTTGCCTGGAAGAGATCGCTCTTAGCGATAAGGTCTCCCATTGTTTTCTAATTGTGATTATTTCTTGTAATTGTTTGTATCTATAATAAGTTGACTATTGTAATGTTACGGAGGGAACAATAAAGAGTATCTATCTATCTATCTATCGACTTATTTAAAAGCATACTTACTGGACAGCACCCTCTTCGCCCTACCCAGCAGACCGCGCACTGTCAGCCGTCTGTAATTCATCTCGTGCTGTTCTAGAAGCTTCAACGTCTCTTCCGCTTTGGCTTTGTCTTTGAAGCCGAAGCCGGTCTCTTCTTTGTCGTCTTTGCCCATTGTCTGCAATGTAAATACAACATTTAATAAATGAACATACAGATCAATGTGTGGGCGAGGGATGGGCAGCAGCGTCCCTCTTAAAACATATCTAAAAGCCTAACTGCGGTTGCCAATCCGCTTGCCAAGCGTGGCAACTACTGGCAAAATTCTTCTTACGGGAAAGGCTTATGTTCAGCAGTGGACAGTTAACGGCTAAAGTAATACTTCATCAATGTGTTTTTTTTTATTGGATGAAAATGGTATGGTAACCCCGCCTGCGCTAACGGGATACGCTGGCGGAGCACCAGTGAAGGGTGATTGATGAGAATGAAAACAGGACAGTTAGCCCATCGTGATGAATTCATCAGGAATTATCCATGATAGTTTCCAGGTAGAACCGCGAGGAGGTCGACCTGGTTGGGTATATTGCTAGCAATGGGATTCTTTGTCTCCATCGCCTCTGCCGTCGCCTCTGTGTGATCCCGGCGTAGAATAGGTCACCCCTTTCTTACTCGTGGTTGTCGTAAGAGGCGACTAAGGGAACTTAAATTTGAACTTAGTAGCGTCTAAAACATTGTTGTAAATATGTGAATTCGTAACGTGGAGTGTTTATAATTAACTTTTGTTTTAAACGACCAGTTTGTTCATCAGCAACGAAAAATGGTAAATCAGAGTAAATTTATTTATTTACTCATTAGTACATATGGCGGACTTAATGCTAGAAGCATTCTCTCCCAGTCAACCGTAGGGAAGTGTCAGAATACTCGAATGCGGTACTACTAATTATTGATATACATACATACTAAAATTACATATATAAACGAATAAATATATATAAATAACAAATATACTTACACATATATGACATATACTACATTATACACGAAATTGAGAATAATATAAAGCACTTACTGCTCGGATAAAGTAAAAAGTGAACGTGAACGTTTTTTTTAAATTCTATTCATTGTAAAAATAATTATCAAAAATAGGTTAAAAATTGACGAAGATATTGCGCCGTAAAAAATTACGTTTTTTATTGGCGTGAATTGAAATTACAGGGTACATAGGAATAACACCCGAGTCCTTAGGGATAGTAACGCATGGGGGGTATCATGGGCGAAACAGTATACTCTGTTATGTCCACGGTACTGCTCGTGTCTATAGGCGACGGTTACCACTTTCCATCAGGTGGGCCGTCATCATGTTTGCCATTCTAAGTTGTATAAAAAAAAATACTGTAATGCGTTTGGATTATGTATGATTAAGAACTTACACGAATCTCTAATTCGTTGTAAGTTCTCGTGGGCGAATTATTCAATGTTTCGGTTACCACTTTACAATTAGGTCATCAGTTTGTATCATTCTAAGTTATATTAAACTTGGAAGTACGCTGTGAGATAAAATCCGAAATTAGACAATCGGCAGAAAAACTAAAGTGACCGACATGATTCGAAAAAACAACAAGCTTATGAAAAATTTTCAGGCCGACTGTGCTTCTGTAGGAGGTTAGTTCGCTATCTCATGTCCTTATAATGGGAAATGTGAATTTTGTTTAAAAAAATAATAGTTTATTTGCTCAAATATAGGTTTTACAAATGCTACATATTAGGTAATTAGGTCTCCATATTTTACCATTCATGTCGTGGAAAACATGATAGAATCTACACTTAGACGTGTCTTTGTAAATTTTTAAAGCTTTACTCGCATTCTAGGGTGGGCATCGCACAATTCTGGGGCGAGTACAATCCACCTGAGCCACTCCCAGCTCTTAAATACGCCCTGTGATGATGACGATGGGGCGAAATTATGTTTTGGCAAGTTATTATATCTGCTCCGGCCTCTGGATTGATAGCGAAATCAAATAAATATAAATGGTGCCTTACGTCATCCGGCGACAATGATCTCACGATATATACAATATACACACATACACAGATTACATACAACATACGCACACAGTAACGTGCACTGTAATACGAATTGAAATATACTTGTGTATAAATATTGTAAACATGGAGCATACATGAGCGTATATGCAAAAATAAGGCAACCTTGACAGAGTTCGTTGTATTTATTGACGTATTCTTATTATATGTAATATATGTATAATAAAATTTGATATAAACTGTAACATATTTCATATATGTAATCCCGGCATAGAATAGGCCACCCCTTCCTTTACACGTGGGTGTCGTAAGCGGCTAAGGGATGGCGAGGGATGGGCAGCAGCGTCCCTGTTAAAACAACTTCAGAGCCTAACTGCGGTTGCCAATCCGTCTGCCAAGAGTAGCACATACTGGCAACTCCCCCCCCCCCTCCCACAAGGTGGAGGTTTTTTTTAATGGATGATAATGGAATGGAAACCCCACCCGCGCTATCGGTATACACCGGCGCGGCACCAGTGAGGGATGATAGGTGAGGATGAAGCAGGTCAGTTAGCCCATCGTGACGAATTCAACAAGAATTGTTCACGATGGTTTCCAGGGGGAACCACGTGGGGATCGACCTATTATATTATAAGGCATATTGCTAGCAATGGGGCTGTCAAACTCCATTGCTAACAATCCCTTTCCCCCCAAGGTGGAGGTTTCTGTTCAGTAATGGACAATTATAGGCCGATATGTTGATAACATATTTTTTTGGAATAGAGTCAATTTTTAATATACAAAAAAAGAAATATAATTAAAAAAAAAATATTGCTCATAACTGTAAACACTGGGGTCAGGGACATTTGTCGTCTGTCACATCTGTTTTTGAGCATAATAACATTCAAATTGGTATAGGCGAGCCTGTAGGCTATGGTGTACCATGATACTTAATTATTTGATCCACTAACGGTGTTATTCCAGTTATTGTTACATAGATTGTCCACAAATACTTCAAAATTGTTTAACTTTCGTGTTCCCGCTGGAATACCTCGGAAACAGATAACACCTTTATGTCCTCCGTTAAGAAGAACAGTGTTAGGAGCCAACTCGCCTGTACCCGGATTATGTAGGACTCTGAACGCTCACAGCGATCAAATTGACATCAATTTTGGATCCATCAACAGCAGATGTAACTTATTGAGGAAAATCTTAGAATGTTTCGCCCATGATACCCCCCATGCGTTGCCATTCCTGAGGACTCAGGTGTTATTCCTCTGTACCCTGTAAATTCACGCCATATCCCACCCTTCAAACCGAAACATAGCCATGCAAACACAACTGCTTCACGGTAGAAACACGAATGAGACAGAGGTACCCAAGCAAACGACTTTTGTACAAAGTCTCCCATGGACTAACTGACCGGCTTCCATCTTCACCTATCATCTTTCACTGGTGCCCCACCAGTGTATATTGACAGCGCAGGCGGGATTAGCATTCGACTTTCACCCATTAAAAAATACTAAGGCACGAAAAAAAAAACTATCTTTGTAATCCCTGATTAAAATATTCAAACTAAGTATTCTGAGAGTGGTGAATAAAAAAAAACAAATAAAAAAAAACTATTCTGTGCTTATTAACATTTTTAACATACTTTAATAGCTGAGTGTCCGAGGAATGATCTTGATAAAATAACAAAAACATAGTGGACATTATAAATAAAAATCTAACTTGGTCGCTTCATTACGCAAACAACACACATACATAGTCTATGATCACATTTCAGTGCGTGACACGCTTGACCTAAGTAATCGCGTGACGTTACCGTTAAAAAAATGCCATTTCGATTTCGCGCCTTTTACAATGTCAAAACAAAACAAGTTTTTTTTTTATATTTTCAAGATCAAACAAAGGAAATGTTTCATTCATCTTTAAATACGTACGTGACAGAGTAGATTATTACATATTCACGATTAAAATGATTGTCGTAGATCGATTTCGCTGAATTGAAATTGGAATTAAGGGGGTATCATGGGCGAAACAATATACTCTGTTATGTCCATGGTACTGCTCACGTCTATAGGCGACGGTTACCACTTTCCATCAGGTGGCCCGTCAGCTTGTTTGCCATTCTAAGTTGTATAAAAAAAAAAGACTCGACGACTGTTTGTAGAGCATTTTTGAAGGCATTCAGACGCGAGTCGAAGATACCAATTAGAGGGCATTTAGCGGATAATTAATTATAATTACAGACATGCAGGTGATCGGGTCGTAACACGACGTATTGTTCTTGTAAACGCAAAGTGTAAACGTTTTAGAAGTTTATGTTACAGCTTTATGCAATTTAGAATGGCAAACAAGCTGACGGCCCACTTGATGGAAAGTGGTATCCGTCGTCTATAGACATGAGCAGAGTACCTAGCAATATGCGCTATCAGGTCGACCTACAGACAGTTCCTATTGGAAACCATAGTGGTCAGGGGGGAAGGAATTATTGGTAATGCGGACTATCAGTCCCATTGCTAGCAATATACCCTATCAGGTCGACCTCCACGTGGTCCCCCTGGAAACCATCTTGCTGAATTTCAGGTGTATTCATTACGGTGGGCAAACTGATCTGCCCTTTCATCCTCACCTACCATCCCTCACTGGTGCCCCGCCAGCTTATACCGTTAGCGCTAGCGGAGTTACCATTCCATTATCATCCATTAAAAAAACCATAGTGGTCAATCTCGTCACCTTTCATGTCTCACTGGTGCCCCGGTGCACACTAGTTACACTGGTGGGGCACCAGTGAGACATGAAATACGACAGCCCATATTGCAGCGCATGAAGTTAGCGCAAGTGTGACGTATTTATTGGTCTCGAGGCGGTTTGTGGGATCGTTGGCTGTAGTGTTTTTTTTTTTCAATGGGTGTAAATGGTATGGTAACCCCGCCTGCGCTAACAGGATACGCTGGCGGAGCACCAGTGAAGGGTGATAGATGAGAATGAAAACAGGCCAGTTAGCGCATCATGATGAATTCATCAGGAATTAACCATGATAGTTTCCAGGGAAAACCGCGAGGAGTTGGACCTGGTTGGGTATATTGCTAGCAATGGAATTCTCAGTCTCTATTACTAACAATCCCTTCCCCCCCAGCTGTAGTGTTTGCACAGTATACGTACAGTGCGAGCATCGTAGCGGATGCACCATACCAATATTGTTATGAAATGTGGTTTTGTTTGCTTAACAGATGCTTATATTTTGCATTGTGAATAACTATAATTGGCTAACATGTAGGAAATGTAATTTAATACGTATTTAATTATGTAAAAAGCTGCTGTTATCCCAAATAAAATAAATAAATAACAATGAAAGCAGGTCAGTAAACCTATCCTGAGTTATTCGACAAGAATTCGACGAAATCTCTCTCTCGTACTCGCTGTGCCCAACAGGGTCCATAATTGAAATGTTATCTACTAATTATATTATGGAATGCAATAAGAAATAAATAAATAAATAAATAAAAATATATTGCTATCAAAGAGACCGTTAGAAAATTGTTTTAAAACTGAAAATCAACCATTCAGTTCGACCGTCAAAAGTAGGTATTTTTATTTTGGGGCAATCATGTAAAAACATAGGTATTACGCGAAACAGTGGAGCGCCAGTGATGTCATTATGTATTTACATAATTTATTCCAAGCACAAGGTTAACTCGAGACGGTACAGAATTCGAGTGGCTAAACATAGTTTCGTAATGTTTTATACATTTGACATAGCTAGAAAGATATTGCCACTTCAGCTTGCTTAGCTGAAGTGGCAATGGGCTGGTCACGTAGTTCGAAGAACCGACAACCGATCTATCTATCCTATTTAAGAGCTGCGCTCTTGTCGGTGGAGTTCCTGCCACTCAATACGATTAAGCCAGTCTCTTCACCTATTGAAACGACACGACACCATCTCCTTCCTTGATCTGCCTGATGTAACTATGCCTCGGTCTCCCTCTAGGGAAGAAAATGCATGAATAGCGACTTTATACAGGCAAATGCAGTGTAACACGATCGCAGACTACGCAGATGTAGTGACGACCTCAAATGCATTGCAGGGAGTCAGTGGGTGCAGGTGGCTCAGGACCGTTCCTTATGGCGGTCTATGGGAGAGGCCTATGTCCAGCAGTGGACGGATAATGGCTGAGATGATGACGATTCACGATATGTATACAATACGCACGCTATTGGGATATTTTTACATGACTTTGGAAAGGGAGACTTTGTACAAAAGTCGATTGCTTGGGTACCTCTGTCCCATTCGTGTTTCAACCGTGAAGCAGTTGTGTTTGCATGGCTGTGTTTCGGTTTGAAGGGTGGGATATGGCGTGAATTTACTGGGTACAGAGGAATAATACCTGAGTCCTTAGGAATGGCAATGTATGGGGGGTATCATGGGCGAAACAGTATACTCTGTTATGTCCGTGGTACTGCTCATGTCTATAGGCGACGGTTACCACTTCCATCAGGTGGGCCGTCAGCTTGTTTGCCATTCTGTCCACGTGTATTCATCCCGATGGGCTAACTGACCTGCCGTTTCAATTTTTCATTGTCACCTGTCATCCCTCACTGGTGCCTTGTCAGCGTATACCGTTAACGCAGGCGGGGTTAACGTTCCATTATCAGACAAAAAAAATCCAGATTGGTTTTTTAAGAAATACTGAATGGGTTTACTCATTTGCTCCACTATTTGCTCTCCAACCATTATCTGATACGCCGTTAAACTTTCAACTCTCTCAATAGTAACCATTGCCTTCGTCTTGTTCGCAGTGAGACAAAAACTATCATAACAGATTTACTGTTATTTTAAAGAACATCTAACTGTGAATTATTTTTAATTTTATTTTACTTTGTACACAAATAGTAAAGACAATATTTCAGAAAAAAAAAATTATGTAATTTATAACATTTTTTTTTCTTCTATTGGCTTTGGCTTTTTAGGGTAGCCATTAGCCATTTTTAAGTTTAATTTAAAAAGCATTGGAACTGAACGTCAGAGATTAAGAACTTGTTCTTAGTTCAGAGACAAGTCTATTTTTACACTATGCTGTTAGGCTAAGGAATATAATACATAATGCTTAAATTTACCACAATGTAATATAGTTTCCAGGACAACTGGATTTGGCACCACGCTCGTAGAATCGTGTAAAATCATAACTTTTATATAATATACACACATATAAAGTAGAGTAGCGAACAAGCTGACGGCCCGCCTGATGGTAGTGGTAACCGTCGCCTGTAGACATGAATAGCATCATGAATATTACGGAATCCACTATAAACATTGTAACGTACATAGTAGGGGGGGGGGGGATTGTTAGTAATGAGGACTACCAGTCCAATTGCTAGCAATATACCATGTCAAGTCGATCTCCACGTGGTCGCCCCTGGAAACCATCGTGGTGAATTCCAGGTGTATTCATCACGATAGGCTAACTGATTTGCCTTTTCATCCTCACCTATCATCCCTCACTGGTGCCCCACCAATGTATACCGTTAGCGCGGGCGGGGTTACCATTTCATTATCATCCAATAAAACTTAATCCACATTCATACATGAAACATTATTATATACTATATCAAATCGGCTTTACAGCAGACACACGAATGGGACTAAGGTACCCAAGCAGACGTCTTTTGTATAAGATCTCCCTGTGCTAGTGAATTATTTTTTTTAATTTTTAATTATCAGTAAATCCGAAACCCGTCTCGGAACATACACTATTTACTTAAGAAAATAATCATTAAAACCGGTCCGCAAATGGCGAAGACACCACGTGACAATACGTAAACAAAAATATAGTTCAATTCCTGTTTCATTCAATTCGGTTTGATCATACCGACGCCCATAAAAATAGCTAAAAAATATGTTTTAAATATCAATTGTTTCAACTCGACTTTTTTTTTTGGCGTAAACAAATCACATTTAGAAAATATTTATCTCAAGTATTATATTATCTGTACTATTCTTTTTTCTTTTTTCTTGTTCATACTTTTTTAAAACAACAGGCAAAGATATCAATAGCAAACAGCCTAATCGGTCGTTAATTTCCTTTTTAGCTGTTACCTATTACTTTCTTAAATTTTTTTTTATACATAAATAAACAAGCAAAGATAACAAAGATTGAGTACTTACATTTGTTATGTGTATTAAAGTATTTCCAAAATAAATATTACACTAAATCACTGACTATTTATAAGTAAATTAAGTAAGTACTGTTATTATAACACCGGTTGCAGTCTTTTGACTAAACTCTATACTGATTCAAATGTATTTGTGAGGCGGGAATAATTCGTTATAGTGCTGCCAAATTGAATTGAGTCATAATAAACAAGTGGTAGCGTAAGTATTGCCAGTATCACCCAGATGGAAATTACACTAGAGGAAAAATTTGTACAATTTTTTTTTTATGTGTGTAATGTTTTTTTTTATTGTGTCTAAATGGAATGACAATCTAGCACGCGTTATCAATATATAATGGCGGCGCATAAACGATAGTCGATAGATGAGTACTGAAGTAGGTTAGTCTATCTTGACAAACTTAACAAGAATTGGGGGGAAAGGGATTGTCGTCAATGGAGTTTGACAGCCCCATTGCTAGCAATATACCCTAATAGGTCGACCTCCACGTGGTTCCCCCTGGAAACCATCGTGAGCAATTCTTGTTGAATTCGTCACGATGGGCTAACTAACCTGCTTCATCCTCACCTATCATCCTTCACTGGTACCCCGCCGGTGTATTCCGATAGCGCGGGTGGCGTTACCATTCCATTATCACCCATTAAAAAAAAACTTAACAAGAATTATCCACAGTGGTTTTCAGGAGGAACCGTGTGGAGTTTGATCTGACAAGGTATGAAATGAGACTGTTCGACTCCATTAATAATAATCCTTCTCCCTTCAAATATAGAATAGTAACTGTGTCCCTAAATATAGACGTATCAAATGGAAAGGTAATTCGGTGAAATTTTTATTCTAATTGTATAATCCGTATCGAGTTAAATGCTGTAACCATGGAAACAACAGAAATACTCCTCACGTTGACCACTAGATGGCGTTGTTATTTTAGTATCTGTGTGCTACAACGCGATATTAAGATTTCTAACCTGTCTATATAAGCTGAAGAGTATTATTGCAATAACAACAATAAATCTCATATGGTACAGTTCAAGGGTGTATTTATTTATTGAAAACTAAATTAAAACGTACGTTTGTTCACTAATAACATAGACATAGTCATCATTTTAATTCGTTTTGCTCTTTTTAGGGCAAATCAATAAGCTGAGTTGTGACCATTTAGTGTTACTGTGCCATACACATGAAAGGAAAACTTTTTTTTTACTAATTTTATGCATTTTGTTTTATTTTTTACTTTTTGTACATTTATCTTTTTTCACTGTGCTTTATTGTTTGTGTGCTGTAAGTAATGCAAATAAATTATCTATCAACCTATCTTAACAGATAACAACTTTCCGAATCCTACAATAAATAAAAAAAAGACAATATAAAAATTCTTGTAAACAAGTCTATTTGTATATGATTTAATATTTATTACAGTAATTTCAATAGCATTGCAGTCTGGCAACACAGACAAACTACTCATTTTGGTCGGATTACGCGTTGAAGACATTAAATCGACAAAAATAAAGCTGTGACGTAATACTATTTCGACACAAGGCCATGTTTATTTCTCTTAGTGACATCACCAACACGAAAACGGGAGTTTGTGACCTTCGAATGCCTTCCTTCTTCAAAATTTATGTGTCAGGAGCAAGGTATAATAAATGGCCACACGTGGATTGTATTCTCGTTCAATTGAGAATGTTAAGTTTTTTTTTTATGGGTGAAGATGAAATGTTAACCCCGCCTGTGCTATCGGTATACATTGGCTGGGCATCAGTGAATGTATATAAATATCAGAGTATACTGTTTCGCCCATGATACCCCCCATGCGTTGCCATTCCTGAGGACTCAGGTGTTATTCCTCTGTACCCAGTAAATTCACGCCATATCCCACCCTTCAAACCGAAACACAGCCATGCAAACAACTGCTTCACGGTCGAAACACGAATGGAACAGAGGTACCCAAGCAATCGACTTTTGTACAAAGTCTTCTCTGCCAAGCCTCTTAGGTCGACCTCCACGCGGTTTCCCCTGGAAACCATCGTTGAATTTGTCACGATGGACTAACTGACCTGCCTTTTCATTCTCATCCAACGTCTCTCACTGGTACTCCGCCTGTATATACGGTTAGCGCAGGTGGGGTTACAAATTCATTATTATCCAATAAAAAAAAATACCCATGTTAATGTAAAATTACCTTTAATTTAAGAGTAACCGGGTATTATGATTGTGATGTATGTGGGTACACCGAGATTTTTATAATAATCATATTTGGCGGGGTAACTGTTTCTGTCGACAAATAGAAGTGATCCGATCCAGCTGTGTTTTATTTCTCTCCGTCATATTAATACCTGGAGGCGATAAATAACTATCAAATAGCAAAATGATGAAATTATTTCAATTTTTTGTCTAATTAAGTTTTAATATATGCACGCTTTTTTTTTTGTCGAGGGGAAATGCTCATGCAGACCCGCATACCTCGGAGGAGATATGCGGGTACTGCCGGACTCTTACCGGCTAAAACCCCCCGGTGCTCCTTTTCAGCGCTTCCTTCGAGACGTGGGTGTGCGCAAGCAATCGTCCCGTCCCGAACGCATTGGTCCGTCTCACAAGGCGGACCCCATCACTAAGTGACCCGTAGGTGTATCCTCAGTGAGGGGCGCGCGGGAGCACGCGCGTGACTCCTCCGGGCCGTGTTGGTGATGGGGTGACAACTGCCCTCGCAGCTGCCGTCCCTGGCCCATGCGGTGAAGTAGGATCTCCTCCTCGGTCCTGCCTTCTTCACCTATGTCGCCGGCGCCTGATTTGTGGGGCGGAGGGGTCGAACTCTCGCTCCCTTTCCGCCGTTTCCTTCTTTGACATGGCGGCCTCGCAAATCCCAAGGACCGCCATCCATGCGCTCTCACTGGACACCATCTGTCCGACAACTGAAGACAGCGAGAGGTTATCTCCTATTACCGCGACCAAGGCACGACGCTCTTCCGCAAACGCAGGACAGGACTCCAAAACGTGCTGCGCCGTGTCTTGGTCGCAAGCACCGCACTCTTTGCAACCGGGATCCTCCTCCCGCCTGGCCACCGTGTGCAGGTACTTACCGTAGCAGCCATGTCCGATGAGCATCTGCGTCAGTCGGAAGGTGATGGGACCCCGTAATATATGCACGCGTACAGTGTGGCAGAATAAGATTGGCCTAATTTTCTTATAATGTAACGCCTATAAAAATATACCTTATACCAGCAAATAAATGTAATTCAATTCAATTCATGCGGAAGGAAGTCACTGGTTATTTGGTTAGTATTATTTTTGGCAACACCGTTGAAAATTTGTCATTCTCAGTTTGGGCGGGAAACGGTCCGAGCAGCGATTCACTCATTTGCCTGAAGATGCCTCGTTCAGAATTGAATGAGTCGTACACTACCGCGCAAAAGTATGAATGGTTGATAATGGTATGGTAACCCCGCCTGTGCTAACGATATACGCTGGCGGAGCACCAGTGAGGGATGATAGGTGAGAATGAAAAGGCAGGCTAGAAGTCAATACGATGGTTCCCAGGTGGAATCACGAGGAGGTTAACCTGACAGGGTATATTGCTAGCAATGGGACTGGTTGCCCTTAGTGATTAGTGATGAATACACTTGTAATAAAACATGATAGTTTCCAGGGGAAACTACGTGGAGGTCGACCCTACAGAGTGTATTGCTAAGAATGGGGTATAAATCCACTTTATTAACGATATATTCATGTTTAGGACCGTAGGTGTCCTAAATCCATGGGGCATATACTCTTATGTCAATAAATACATATTTAAAAGAAAAAAAAAACAATTCTGTCATCGGCTGTATAGGTTTAGTTCCTATGCTATCAATCGTACATAAAAAATAATACCGATATCATAAATCAATACTGCAACATAACACTTAGTAACAGTAAATAGTAAAATAAACATACTAGAATAGATCAGACTAGATCAATAATGTATGGGGCCTGCCATTCCATTAGTGTTGCTTAATAATCGATTACCGAATACTCGATTTTATACTAGATAAGTATTTATAATCTAAATTATATTATGATTACATACTTTACAGTTATATCTATTCGATAATGGAATAATCTGCCATTCGAAATAAGGGAATCGCCAAGTATAAGCATCTTTAAGCGTCGACTAAGGGAGCATTACTTATGACTATGCAGATGTATTATGTATATGTATATGTATATGTATATGTATATATATATATATATATATATATAACTGCTATTTATTTATATAGATCAAAGAATTGATCAAAGTTGATCAAAGAATAGTTGGAATTCAATAAAATTATTTTATTGTTTAAATTTATTCAATTTTATGGTGTTATCCTATACATAATATGTTATTTGTTTATTTTTAATCCTAATTGAATTAAATATTAATTAATATGTTGAATCAGATGAATATTTGCTGGCATCCCTACTTAATGACATATCGTAACAGTGTTGCCAGATTAGATAATTTTGTGCTTTTTAGGCTATTTCGAAGAGTGTCAGAATGGCTGAAAATTACGAGTCACCATTTAGACTATCTTAAAAAAAAATATTTTAGGCTATAAAGAATATTTAAAAGGTTTAAATTTATTTGTATATATTTTTTTATGTTTGTTACCTCTTAACTCTGTCAGTTGTACACCAATTTAAACTTTTTATCTGGAAGAATACAGGTACTTACAGATTGGTTCCACAAAAATTTTATCAAAATCGGTTCAGTAGTTTAGTTTTTAAATCAAAATAACTGGTTTTAAAATATTTGAAGTCGATTTCTTTGTGGAACACAATTTTAGTTATGAATGAATTTTAATGGAATGAAAATCCCATCTGTGTTATTAGTATTCGCCGACCGCGCATCTGAAGATGAAAGCAGGATAGTTGGCTTATCATAACGAATCCATATAGAAATAATGATTTTTAGGGGTCCGCGTGGAACTTAACTGACATGTTATACTGCTAGTAATGATACTACTAGTCACTGTTACTGATCTTGCCTTCTCCTCCTCCAATTTATTATTAAAAATATAAATATCTGGCTGTTAAATAATTAGATCATTAAGAGAAGACATACTAAGATAAGTGACAGTTAACAGCAGTGCGTATATTTGCGATCCAGTAGTATGATGCGACTTTATCTGTCCGCTCATCTGTCTATCACAGCAACTATTAATGATATTCAATTGAAATTTTAAACCTGTTTAAAATTTTAATGTGACCTAAATCGAGTGTTAAAAATTTCAAAATACTGTGTGTGAGTCACTTCTAACGGGATATTATATGAAAGGATTTCTTTTTTTTTGTACAACACAGGAGGCAAACGAGCATGCGGCTCACCTGATGGTAAGTGACTACCGCCGCCCATGGTCATCCACAACACCTACGCCATAGCAGGTGTGCTGCCGGCCTTTAAAAAGGAATATGCTCTTTTCTTGAAGGTTATGTTGTCGTATCGGTTCGGAAATACTGCTGCTGGAAGTTGATTCCAAAGAGTGGTTGTGCGTGGGAGAAAGTGTCTTGAAAAACGCACTCACCGCCACTCGTCCAGATGGTTGGGATGAAATTTTAGTTTATGGCGGGTTGTACGATGGTGAAAATCAGCAGCAGGTATCAATTCGAACAATTCTTCAGAGCACTTCCCATGATAATTTCGGTAGAAGATGCACAGAGATGCAACATCTCTACGCAGTTTAAATGGGTCGAGCCGGACAGTAAGACGCCGATCATCAACAATTCGAGCTGCCCGACTTTAAATGCGGTCTAACGGAAAGAGTTGGTACTGTGGCGCTCCTACCCACCGGTGAGAACAGTATTCCATGTGTAGCCTCACTTGAGCTTTATACAGTTTCAGGCGGTGTTCCGGTATGAAATACCGTCTCATCCTATTGAGCACCCCCCATTACTCATACTAAAATCAATTTTTGTTTCGTTATTGGACGATTTTAGGCTATATTGCAATAAAAAAAATTTACGCAACTTTAGATTACTAGAGATCCACTTTTTGGCTAATTCCGGTTCATTTTATGTGGCAACCCTGATCGTTTCATACATGCATTGCTTGCTGTTTGAAATGTACGTCTTATATTTATCAGTCATCAGTTTTCGTATGTAAATACGTATTGAAACGTTTTCAAGTTTTAGGTTATTTTATGTGTGAAACATAAAATGTGTACAAACGGCCAGAAACCTGTGTTTAGAGACCTCACTGCCGAGGACCCAGAACCGGAGGTTACAGAAATTGAGTCTTTATGCATCAACTGCCACGCTAATGTGAGTGTCGTATTATTAAAAACAAAAAAAAAAAAAAAAACTAATTAATAATGATAGTTTACAAACTCTAAATGTATTACTAAATCTACTGAATTAATAATACATTATTACTCTTAGCTTAATTTACTATATCCCGATTTGAGTTTGCAGCTGTATGTATTTTTTTTTTCTAATTTAAAGGTACCTTTTAATTTTTTTTTTTATTAAATTAAGCATTATTTGTATGTTCTTAACACCATACACAGATAAAAAAACCAAATTTATCCGGTTGGCGGTGGTAAACTCGCACCTCGCTGTTCCACTCTATCATGCTCCAGGACATTGGTCAATTGCGCATGTCGCGTATTGCGTTCCCCCTCACGGTAACAGCCGACAAGATGGCACTGACCCTTGCTAAAGGGGACGCCAGACGCCTTTGTTCCTTTGTGTGTGATTTATACTCCCCTAAGAGTGCTTGGGGATTATTATAAACTCGAGTGTACTTATTTAATTTTATTAAATAACATATCACAGTTTGAATAGTAAAGTAGTGATTTCTCAACTGTACAAAGATGGCGGTGGAGCTACAAGGTAAGGAGCCCTCGGTAATTCATTTAACACGAATAAAATTCAGCAGCGTTCCTTTTAAAAAGTCAAAGCCTAATTGCGATTGGCAACCCGCTTGCCAAGCATAGCAACTACTGGCAATACCCCCCAAGGGGGAGGCTTATGTTCAGCAGTGGACAGTTAAAGGCTGATATGGTAGTTTTATTTATTTATTTATACTTTATAGTACACATAGCTAGTATATAAAAATATTACAGAGGTAAGTAAATGTACAAAGGCGAGCTTAACTCTAAAAGAGTTCTCTCCCACCAACACTCAAAGTGGTAAGGAGCATCAATGTCAGCGGGTAGAGTGGTGTCCAATATTGGGATAATTTTCAACCAAAAAATTTATTTAATAACCAAAAAAATAATAATTTTGCAGTACCCTGGTGATTTTTCTATTTAACCTTAAGGTTTCAAGGAACCCGTTTTAGGAATTTCTGATGTACTTCATGGTAGAGTATTTTTTTTTTGATGGGTGAAAATGGTATGGTAACCTCGCCTGCGCTAACGGGATACGCTGGTGGAGCACCAGTGAAGGGTGATAGATGAGAATGAAAACAGGCCAGTTAGCCCATCATGATGAATTCATCAGGAATTAACCATGATAGTTTCCAGGGGGAACCACGTGGAGGAGGTGGACCTGGTTGGGTATATTGCTAGCAATGGAATTCTCAGTCTCCATTACTAACAATCCCTTTCCCCCTCATGGTAAAGTATTTGATAAATAGATATATAATTTATTTGCATAACATACAGCACAAATAATAACAGACAGAGATAGACATACACAGTAAAAAGAGATAAAAGAATGCATATACAAGAAAAGCAGAAGGCATAAAAGAGTAACATGATTTTTTCTTTCCTACGTGTGCCATAGTAACAAAATGGTCACAACTCAGTTTATTGCCTCACCCTCAAAACAGCAAAACACTGATATTTTGTTGTGACCAAAAGCCGACTGTGAGAGGGGGGATTGTTAGTAATGCAGACTACCAGACTCATTGCTAGCGACATACCCTGTCAGGTCGACCTCCACATGATCCTCCCTGGAAACCATCGTGCTGAATACCAGATGTATTTATCACGATGGGCTAACTGACCTGTTCTTTCATTTTTACTTATCATCCCTTACTAGTGCTCCGACGGTGTATACCGATAGCGCAGGCGGGGCTATCATTCCATTATCGTTTATTAACAGCCCTCTATGTCGAGGCTGTTTCGACATCGACGAAA